TCCATCGCTGGCTGGGCGTGGAGGCGTTGCAGGCCGAGAGCCGCAGCACGCCGGCCTGCAGATAAAAAGGGACAGCGTTGACTATAGCTGTTACGGTTATATTGGGGTTATACGAGGATGATGGAAAATGAGCTGGAGACTACTATACTATATCATAGGGGTTATATTGGGGTTATATGTTTGGTAGTTTCAAACAGGATTGCAAGCCTTCCCGCCACCAACACCAGCAACAGACTGGCAACACCAACACCACCAAACCCGTGCCAGCGTCAGCTTTGTCGACAACAGCAGCAGCAGCAGCACGAGGATGAAAGAGGAGGAGGCGAGCAGGCGGAGTCGGCCAGGCAAAGCTGTAGGATTTCTGGCAAGCGCTGAATAGCATGAGGTAGATAGCGTGTTTAAGAAGGAAAAATAGCCCATAGCAGGTGTTCAGCAAAAAACTGGAGACGGCATAAACACGAAAATACAACGTCTGTTCGACTCATATAGGATTCATCCCATAGCTTTTCACGGCTGATGAACCCATGTATATGGCCAGCCAGGATAACCGCACAGCAATGATATAGCCACCCATTTTTAGGGGTTTTGGGGTTTCAGGTTTAGGGCTTATAGGTCCAATTGTAGAGCTTGGCTTCTGAAGACCTACCTATATATCCTCTTAGTCTAAATAATCCCATATAAACCCTAAATAATCCCTATATAATCATGATGCTTGAGATGCCAAAGACGAGGCCCCCGCTTCAGCGCGTGGCGTCGCGCGAAGGGGCTGCCTCTTCACCTCACAAAATTTAGGGTTTTGGGTTTCTCCTGCATATTAATGTAGACGCATGATTAACTACCCCCCCTTTTAAGGGCCTTCGTGTTAGGATCCCCCTGAAAATCCCTATTAAAGGGAAGGAGTTTATTAATCATGGGTCTACATTAACCTTGATACCGCCCCCGCGATATAACGTCACATCTAGCGACGGAGAAGGTTTAACCAAACCTCTAGATGACATCTCTACACCTCCACATTGGAAACTCACACTTCGCATATAAACTTCTACAAACCAATCCTTAGGGATCCAAATAGCCCAATGTTGACAATACTTACAGACTTTGGGGCCCAATGTAGGTATTATTTGTATACTTGGATCCCTGTAGAGGCCTCCGCTTTATAACAACAGTTTCCAGGAAATTGTCCATTTTCTTTTCCACCTGATTCTCCAATATTAGTATTATTTGTATACTTGGATCCCTCGGAAATGCTTTATATGATCTCTATACCTGCGGCTTGAAGCTGTTAGTCCACCGGCTTCTAACTTTTCCGTGTCTTCCACTAGGTGCCTGGAGAAACGAAAAGCACGACTTCGAGTCTAAGCCTAGCAGCAGACACATGATGTCCAACAGTCGGGAACTAAAGCTTGAACGGACAACTGCCGTATTTATGCTGCAGATGCAGTTCCTTTCCATGAGTCTGATGAACAATCGAAACTGCGAGTTAACTGCTACTTGTGGGAAGCTTCATGGCCCCAAAGGAGCAGCATATAAGAAGAGCAGTGCAGTAAAAGGATTTTGGTAACTCCAACCACCAAAAAGAAGTACCCTATAAGAGTCATATGATAGTATCGTAAGAGGATGCTCATTTTAACGCTTGGCAAAACCAAGGGTCACTCATTCAGCAGAGTGATCTTGGCCATTGTAAGAGCAAACACCAACACTAGGTTCCCCAGTAAACCCCAAATAATAATTAATAAGGGTACCCTTTTTGCTACTGTTCTGCTTTAATAAGGAGACCCCAAAACAAAAAGGGTAAAAGGGTACTACTGGGGCACCTAGAACAGCGATTAGAAGAAGTGCCTCCCCCGATCTTGCAAGTGACTGAGCCATAGCTGATTTTCACAAGTAGTCTACAGGGGGTCGCTTTTTCCATGGTTGCTAAAACGAGTCTGTGGTTTCCCAATATTTAAGGCACCCCTACATATGACTCCCAATATACTAAGTTCCTTTAATGTCGGGACCCCAAAAAGGGACCCTAATTTTGGGAAACCCTGATATCTGCAAACCACTATACACCCAGCTTTCATGTCTTTTCCATGTTCTTGTCCATTTGATTCTGCATTTTGGGGTGTGTGATATCTCTAAACCCTATATAGTAGCACACTCTCTAGGGCCCTAAACCCTAAACCCTATTCCAACAACCCTAAACTCTACAGTATTCCCTGAACCCTACATCCTAAACCCTATGTACTCCCTGTATTCGTTCTTGACTTGCACAAACTCCTGCCTGCCAAAGACGACCATCGTTCAAGAGCCACCTGTTAAGGGTGTATCGGGGTAGATACCAGGGCCCCTATAATAATCATAAGAACGGTCCAACATACTACTATCATAGATTAGAGGGAAGATTCATAGTGGCCCCAGGGTCACAGTAGGATTTGGAACATGTGAGTGATGTATGTTTGGTGGCTGAACCGCATGATACCATGTTCTTCCAATGAAATACGCTATAACCAAAGGGAGGATGCTATGACCCCCTGTGAACCACACGACTCATGTGGGGGTTTTGCGTGCTTGGGATTCTGGGTTGGGCCCCCAGCTGCATTCTATAAGTATATAGCCCAGGCCGTTGACCTACATGGTTTTGGCTCAAAGCCTGTTGTGATGTCATACTCAGGTCATACATCATTTGTAGGGCCTGAAGGACTGGCAGTCCCTATAGCGCTCATGGGACTTCATGCCCTGAGCCTGGCTGCATTCGCATGTAAGACTCGGGGCAATCATTCGCACATGAATCGTAGCTTTCAGTTAGGCTCCCAGATGCCCTCTTCTCCGACAAGGATCCCCGGGAAGCCCCTTCTTTTTAATATCTTGATTGAAGGCAAGAGGAGGCCACCATCCTGAAAATCCATAACCAAGTTCACCCACCCAAGACTTAGCTTTGCAGGCTTGAAGTAGTTTCCTTAATCGCAAGGGCACACCAGCAACAAACCCCGCTCCCCTCATGACAATTGAGCACGCTGCACAAATGTATAGCAGTGAACAAGAGGCATGTCTTACATCGTCCATGATGCACACACCCCCACACACACACACACACACACACACACCCACACACCCACACACACACACACACACACACACACACACACACACACGTAGCGTTACCCGGTGGTCGCCGTTGAATACAAACCCAGGCATCAACAATACCGAGCACCTCTCCACTTTGCACACTTCCCTGATATTATATACACACATATTTATCCAACACAAGCACTGTGACGACGCTCACCCTGCATGTTCTTTTCCTTGGGATTCTCCATTTAATGGGGGCTCATATCCCTAACTGGGGGGAATCCCTAAACCCTAAATTTTGGGACCCCAATATTCTATAGTCCTTATTATAGGGATCTCCAAAAAGAATCTAAACCCTAAACCCTTCCTTAACAGCAATCCAGTAGAGCCCCGCAAGGTCCAGGCCGCCTTGGCGCATCCTGACACGGAACCAGGGAGGCTTCCTCTCAGAGTTTGAGGGTTTTAGAGTCTGAGGGTTTTAGAGTTTTAGGGCTTTAGGGTTTAGGATTTAGGGCTGTAGAGTGTTGGGTGTTTTAGGGTGTTAAGGTTTTAGGATTTAGGGCTTTAGGATTAGGGTTTAGGATTAGGGTTTAGGAGTGTCAGGGTTTCGGGTTTTAGGGTGTTGGGTTTTTATGGGTTCAGGGTCTTTGAGTTTAGGGGTCAGGGTGCCAGTGTCAAGGGTTGAGGGTTGTAGGGCTTGCGGGGTTTAGGGTTGTAGGTTTTTAGGTGGTTTAGGGTTCAGTTTTTTTTTTTTTCTCGGACCTTTTCTCCCCGCTGACAAGTCTTCGAGGGAACACCTTCAGGTTTAGGGTTTAGGGGTTTAGGGGTTTAGGGTTTAGAGGTTTAGGGGTTTAGGGGGTAATGAACTACTTTAATCTAACATCGAATGAAAAAAGAACATGGAACATGACATGGAACATGACATGGAAGCTGGGATTCATTATAGGGACTAATATTTCCTCCAGGATTCAACGCACATGGGTTCCAAATTAGGGAATATATTAGGGGCTATACTAAACCACAAGAGGGACCCCTATGTCCACCCATGTCCACCCCAAATGGTCCGTTGGTAAGGCGAATATTGACAGTAGCTCATATATCCTACCTAAAATGCTCTCTGAGGAAGGTGCTGTAGGTACCCTAAACCCTAAACCTTGATGTCATGTTGTGAGCTACATAGAGGCTTTGGGCCTTTTGTACTTGTTTGTACCGTTGCTACCGACTGCGGGGGAAACGGCTTCAGTGCAAGACGGCATGCCAGCTTGCCTCTAATATTCCATATGGGTCCAAATTTATGCCAAGTTTCTACGCAAAATGATGCAAGTATGCAATCATAATCCAGTATTTAAGGATTCCGCCTCAATGCGACTTTATTGAGGTCCAGATTCCTTCTTATAGCTCAAATGCTTGTTATTTAGATTTAGATCTTGAAGGCGTTGAGGTTCAAGCCTTCCACACTTCATTTCTAGAGCCATCGAGTTCCTAGAGCCCTAGAGCCATTCAAAAGACAGATAGAAGTATCAGAGGCCTTGACAGTTCCGGGGTTTTCGGGGATCCCGGAATCGACAATCCTTTACGGAGGGTTATATTGGGGTAATGTTGGGATAATGGAAGAGAAAATGGAAACTACTATAGTACATTGGGGTAATATTGGGATAATGGAAAAGAAAATGGAAACTACTATAGTACATCGGGGTAATATTGGGATAATGGCAAAAATGGAAACTACTATAGTATATTGGGGTAATATTATGAGCGCGTCTGTTCAAATCTCAAATGCAAGCTCCAACATAGCAGCCACCTTGTGCAGCCGCCATTGACTTACTCGTGCTTGGTAGGGAATAATAGAATCTAGTATACGGGTATTATACAGGGGTTATACCCTAAACCCTAAACCCTAAACCCTTATGCCCAACTAAGAACCAGTAAGTTGAGCAGTCTCAGGCCTGGCAGAAGACTTATACACATCGGCATGCGGGAACTTTTCCGCGATGGCCGCGGCAAGGCCCGCAGCGTAGTCCGAAACGCAGTTGGACTGCTGCACGATATACTGCTCCTGCGACTTTAAACACAGGATCGGCGCATGCACGAAACAAAACTTTGCATGATGATTCGAGACAGGGTTGCATGCAGTCACGAAGGTCATAATCTTGTGTTCACGTAGTAATTGCATAGGACCCACCCATACAGCACAGCGGGCTTTGGAACAACAACGCTTTATCCCTTGCAGTTTGAAAAACTAGCGGAGCGGCACTCAAAAAGGATTAGCCCAGATAGATTCGCACAATCTACACAGGACAATATGCTCCAGAACGCAGCATCCCCCAATGCTGTTTCCACCAAGGCTTTGCTGCCACAGAATCAGAAGTCTCCCATCCTCTGATGAGAGCAGGTCACCTGTCACCTCCTCGACCGGCATGGCCTACCCGCTCAGGCCAGGAGTCCTCTCCAAAAGCTACTGGTACTTAATAATAGTGATAGTAGCAATAATAACATCAATAAGAGTAATAGTAATGTAATAATAATAGTAATAGTAGTAATAATATTCTTAAGGGAAAGTGGGACTGATAATATGGGGTATGAGTCCTGTAGTTGTCAGGGCTTGGGCTCTTGGGGTTCCAAGCCCTTTCACCACTAGTAATAGTCGGAGGATAAACCAAAGGCACATGTTCAAATCTCAGCGCCATGAAGCAGCGTGACCGAAGTTGATATCCCCAGTCAAGTCGAACCACACGCAGACAAAAACAGCATCAGGGCGTGCCTTAGGTGATGCAGCGTACACAACGCGCCAGACTCCAGCAAAATTGGAGATCGAATGTGTTTCAAGGCTTGTGAGTTATAGCCACTAAGTTTTGCGGAGACTTCGGAATCTGATGATCTCTAAGCAAGGGGCTGTGTTGTTTACTGTCGAACCGAAAAAGGCAGCTGCGCCAGCATTCAAACTCTGGATGTCTACGACCTCACTGGCCGCTCTATCTGGACAGAGGGCATACCCGTACAACCCACGTCTGCTCCGGAGAACGTATTTCAGGGTTCATACTCTTTTGATGAACATGTTTTCGTGACGCTAGACACTAAAATGCAGGCCAGTTCAGGGGCTCCAAGAAAACTTCTCCAAAACGGGAGGATGAGTGTCATGTTTACGAGCTACTTCCACTCGTCGCTTCATCATTTGCTGTTGAGGGGGCAAATCTCACAACGCTGTAGGCAGCGTGAAAGCTTCAATTCTTTGAACGGGTCCCAACAAGCTGTAAAGACGTCCCGAACAATGCCAGATCGCCTCCCTTCTGCCCCTGTGCATTCTGGGGTCCCTATATAATCAGGAATATACTAATTTAGGGTCTAACCTGGGGCCCCCCTATTTTGGGAAGCTTACTTATTCTGCCAGAAGTATATTTGAACGTCCATGTGGCCTGGAAAGCTTTTTCTGTCAGCATAACGAGCTACGATTGCTGGCTTTCAGCAGCGGTAGCTTGCCAGGGCCATCTTAGCCCAGCCAAGAAGACGCTGCGGATATCCATCTGTCTGTCATTTGGAAGGCAGGGCGCTCAGAAAGCCATGTAGCAAAGTCATGCCTGGGTCACAGCAAGATCGCTGAGGATGAAACCCGGGCCTTAAGCTTTGCGGGAAGGTCTTGGAAGAACTGAGTTGGTTACCTGAAAGGTTAAGAACGAGAAGGTTATTGGTGGTGACTTCTGCGAGAGGGATGCGCCATCATAGCTGGCAACCACAGGTCTTGAGATCTTGGAATGGCGAATGTGCGATACTTGTCTTCCAAACTCGTTCTGTGGGCTGCGCCTCTTTCCGGAAGCTCTTCGCTCAGACCTGCCAAGCGCCACGCAGGTGTGGTGCATGGGCTTAGGAATGCGGCATTTCGCATCAATCAAAATACAGGCACATATATGGTCTGGACACATGAGCGAACGCCGAAACTCCTTGTATAATCTGATGCCATGGATGATTCGGGGGGGTCCTATCGCTTTTGCGGGTTTTTGCGTCATTTCAAATCTGAGGTATCGCTTTATAGGCTCGACCAACTGAACCTACATAAATCACCTCAAACCTTGCGCTCATAATTGGGGGGTATCGCTTTTCGGGGGGTCCTATCGCTTTTGGGGGTTTTGGCGCAATTTATGAATCCTATGGCATTCCCTTTCATGGTCCCCAATATGCGAGTATTGGGAATTACTCACATGGGTCTGTGCACCGTGGCCGAACAGCTCTTGGAACAGCTGCCGTAACATGGGAGCATCAAACAAATGCAGAGCTATAGGAAAACCTCAAATACCCCGAATGCGCCACTGTCCATCCATGGCCAGCTTGTTGAAATGATTGGAACACTCCGTCCTACATCTCTTGCTGCAGAAGTCCTAGAATGCGCCTCTAGTTTGAGAAGGCATGGCTTGGCATTGCAGACCAATGCTAGAGATCAGGATTCCCTCTGTTATAGGATTCCCTCGATTTTTTTAAGACCACAGGGAATCTTCGCCATACAGACAATCTGGCCTGTGAAGTGTGCGGCGAAAGCTCCAGGAACCCAGTGCGAATGCCCTGCAAAGATGCAGGGAAGTATTCTATTATTGCTATTACTACTATAACTACCATCATTACTATTAGTACCAGTATTACTGTAATTGCTATTATTATGTACCATTACTACTATTATTACTATACACTTCTTCTGTGCTAGGTCAAGGGCTTCATGTGTTTTTCGACGACTCACCTCTGGTGTGAAAAGGCTGCGCACCTGCTCGAACGAAGGACTGAAGCTGCCCATGGGGAAGCAAGACCTAGAGTTTAAGGGTTTTAGGGTTTAAGGTTTAGGGTTTAAGGTTTAAAGTTTAGGGCTTCAGGTTTCAGGTTTAGGGTTCAGGGTTTAGACCTGAGCAGACTCTGCTGGTTAGACTGGATTGCTCTTAAGGAACTTAAATTAAGTTGGCTATAGTAATGAAACTTACTACATACCAGTAACATGGGAACTTCATTTTCTTAACAGCAACCCAGTAGACTCTGGGCGGTTTAGGCTATGCAGATTCAAATAAGATCGCAAAGAGCTGGCTCTCGATACCGGTCATGTACGCAAATTACTTTGAACCTTTTGCACGGCTGTGCAGCCCGCAGACCATTACCCTTTCGGATGACTGTCCCTCACATGTGTTATGGCTGCTTTGAGCTCAGCAAAATTGAGTAGCGTTTTTTTTTGGTGGTTGAACCTAGTAAGATTATATTCCGTATAGAAAATGCTATACCCAAAAAGGAGGATAGAATCTTACTCTATATTGGGTACCCTAGTATCCCCCCCAAAAATACTACTCAATTAAGCTTGTCAGGTGCACGACTGCAAAGGAGCTGGCGAAGCTGTCAGAGCCGTGAATCCGAATGTACTCAGCGAAGGCATCCTAGCAGCGGGCCCATTCCCTTAGGGTTTGGGTTTAGGGTTTAGGGTTTAGGGCCCGTTCCCTTGATCCTTACTTCTCTGATGCTTGGAAGCATTCTGTATCTAAGCTTGTTGCCGTCTGATTCTTGGTCCCATCATCGATCCTTTCACAGCTTATAAGTGGTACAAAATAATAGTACTAATAGTAGTACTGGCACTAACAGTGATAATAGTAAGTATAATAGTTATAGTAGTAGTAGCATCATCGACATTCTTGCCTATGTCAAGTCAGCTCAACTCGACGAGAACAGCCCTGAGGAGCCGTGCGTACAATCATGCATAGGGTTTTTGGTTAAGGATTTACGGTTCAGGGTTCAGGGTATGCCAGACTTTATTCTCAAGGTTGCAGCATGTGGGCCCTTCTCAGATCCACTCGTCCTTTTCCGGCGGCGCCCATAGAGATGACTCCATGTCTTTGCGGTGCATATCTCGCTGAAATTTTCAGGACATGCTTAGGTTATCCTGGTCATTGCGGCCATCCATTTCAGGGCCTGTGTCATGAGCCCCAAGTCTGCGCTTTCCGGCATTTTGGGGTAACCTACCAAAATGTCCTTAAGGGAAACTGCGAGGTCAATTACAGGACCACACTAGCAACGGGATAAGTTACCTATCCCTGAAGCCCCTTTGAGCAGCTCTTCAATGCTGATTTTTCTGAGTCCACCCAGAGATTAGAAGCTCTACTCCAGGGCTACGGTAGAGCTATACATGTAGCACCCGACATCAGAATCCCTCGTGGTAGAAGTAGCCGCCAAGTCTTATACTATTCTCCATCTTCTTTTCCATTATTTCAACATTACCCCAATACACTACTCTCTAATCCCTATATAACCCTGATATAACCCTATCATCCCCCTTACTTACTCAGTGTCAAAGAAACAGCGGGTGGCCTGATCCCACAAACCAGTGATGCGCGGCCTGCATGCCCAGAGCCCTCACCTACTGGCCTTTCACCTGGCTTATTGCAATGATATCTGCAAGGTAAGTTATAGGTGGCGGCGCCCCTAACGCGCCCTGCGCTCGTAGCAATTTTCATCATTCTGGTTGGGGTGGGGGGGGCAATAATCGCATTTTTGTCTGAGCAGTTACCGTTTTGATCATTCTGCTTGGGGTGGGGGGGGCCAATAATCGCAACCTTGTCTGAGCAGTTACCTGGAGTAGCGCATGGCTCAGCAGCAGGGTTACATGGCCACAGACCTGCGGTGGGTCAGCTTGCTTTTGAAGGGTTTGCGGGCCTATGTCTACCAGTTCCAGTGGCGACGGCTTCAGAAGGATCCGTATGCTGCGCTGGCCAGCCTGTGCCAGAAGTACAGGGGCTGACAAAGTTTTGCAAGAAGACTGTGCAAAAACGTAGCTCCCGCCGCAGTTCTGGCACCATGTTCTTCTAAAGATATGGTATGTTTCAGGGATTTCGCCTGTGCGTCATCCTACAACCTACTATGAAACATGCGTTTTCTGTGGGTTTTGGCCGTATGCATTGCCTGCCATGTGCAAAAACACAAGGCGCACTACAGGCGCCGGTACCTTATTATAGTCCCCTTAAGTAGATAGAATATGGGGTATATGGGGATCTTATTATAACATACCCCACGCCATATTCTATCTACTTCACGGAGACTCATTTTTGCGACAGTTTGACTTGCCTGCTGCTACTGAGATGCCCCGGTACCAAACAGACTTGTTGAGGGCTGCAAGCCCGAGCAGTTGAAGTCGTAGCTGCTAGGTCTTTGGCAGAACCTTCCTGCCAAAACATCTTCACAAAGCAGCATCAGCCGACCCCGAAACTGCAAAGCGATCTACAATCTTGCGTGTTCGAAGCCTACCCTAAATCCTGTGGTGTACGCTCTGAGGGGGTTTCCAAAAATTAGGGATACCCCTTTGAGGGTCTCCATAATAAATACAGACTATACGCCGCCTACTTTTTAACACCCGGAATCTTAAATAGGTCTAACAGGTCATTTATACTATCTCCGAAGCCCGTGGCCTGAGGCCGCCTCATTTTTATACATCCGGAAAGGAACTTCAATTTTAGGCCACAGTACGGTGAGCGCACTCAATAAGAAATCGTTCCAAACAAGAAATCAGGGGCTGGCCAGACTGGAATTTCTTAACCCAGCGGCCAAACTGCGCCGAATTTCTGACCGCTCCTTTTGCACGTTTCTTGAGCTGTTGTAGGTGCTGGAAGGGGTGGAGCGGCTGCCCCTCCAGCCCCTCCAGCTCCAACCCCTCCAAGCCCCTCAGCCCCTCCAGCCCCTCCAGCCCTCCAGCCCCTCCAGCCCTGTAGCCCCAACAGTCCTCCCACCCCCTCCAGCCCTCCAACCCACGGGAATGACTTTACCTTACTGCCCGATGGGGCGACAGCTTGCAGGCGGAGGACGTGGTCATCGGAGGCGCGATCAGTGGAGACATCCGGGTGATGTTTACAGGGGTGACTAATTCAGAAAAACTCTAATTGTAAGATAAGTTCTGGCACTTCAATCCTGACAGGTCCACGCCATCTATGTGGACAAGCTCAGAGGGCGGCAGCAACAAGCGGCAGCGGCAGCAGCAGCAGCCGCGGCACCAGCAGCAGCAGCAGCAGCAGCAGCAGCAACAGCAACAGCAGCGGCAGAGATACCATAATTCTTGTTATGGGGACCCCCAAGATGGTACCCCTGATTTTGG